GTTCCCCGTTCTCCTTTTATTTTATTTTGATCGGTCTCCTCGACCCTCTTTCTCGTTTGGTGCGGTAGCTGGTATTTCTATCATTTTGTTTCTCTTCCGAGTGGTTTTTGTACCCTATTTTTTCTGTTTCTTGGTGGGGTCGTGTATGCCGGGTTTTGAGACCACGGGCTCCCAATCTTTTTTTTTAGAGAGAGCTAGACTAATGTGAGAAACAACAACAAACAACAACAACATGTGTAAAGAGTTTCCCCGTCAAAACCACCCTACAGAAGTAGCGCCAATCTACTCCTGGCACATCAACCTGTAACTGAGCCACCCAGCACAAACCTACAGTGGCACCTATCGGGTGTGTTTGGGGTGGTGTTGGGATTACCGTTACAACAGGGTTCTTTGCCGATTTCGTGCTCCGCCGAACGAAGCAGAGCATCTATTAATACATGCTAGTGTTCAGAAACATCAGAACTGGTTGGCGGTGCAGTTTACAAATCAACTGGGCGATGGGTTAAAACGCAAAAGGTTGAGCAACAATAGCGCATGTCACAGGTTCGAGCGCCTGAACGAATTGCCCTGTTATCCTGTTAGCCACTGCTGACGGTGTTTCCGGTTTGCCGAAAGGGGCTACTTGTCGCCACGACACCGAACCAACACCCACAGCACTATTTGCTTTTTTTTTGTGTGCCCTTTCATACGAGTCTAAACTTTTTTCCTTACTTGGTGACCAACGTGTTCGGGAGGCGTAGGACTCGTGCATGGTGCCGCTTCATATCATCGCTGACATCAGTGTCATGCCTGCCAGCGGATCTGTGTGCAAACGTCCCAACCTTAGCCTCGGCGGTCTGCATGGGTGTGCATTTCTGCGCGTGCACCTCTGTTGACGACAAACCGCCACGACATAGCTCGACTGCTGAAAACAACATTTTGCTTGCGTAGTCGTACTAGGTGGAGCAGTCTGAATCATGCCGCCAGCAGAACGACTTGAAAATAATAGCGGTCCTCGCGCACACCCACCCTGCTCTATGGTTAAACATGAATCAGGCAGTAGTAACCATAGCATCGTGATGTCTCAAAATTCGTTGGGAACAGGGACTTTTCTGAGGCGTTTGGGCGTTCAACCAAGCCGTGAAGAGATGAGACGGCGCAGTCTGCAACGTCTACACCGCCTTATGACACGACTGACCAGCAAAAAAACGAAAAAACAACCTTCACTCTCCTCACCGTCATCGTCAAACAGATTTCTGCACCTGGTTGGATTCCAGCGACGGCTTTTCCTCCGGCCGTGTTTTCTGTCTCGAGAAGACAACCGTCCCCTGTGTTGTTCACGTTGCAGCAGTGGTTTTGACGTGACCGATGACCTGATGTTGGTTGGCATGTGCTGACCTACTGTGCTGTTCAACTTCAGAGACAGCAGCTGTCACTGATGCTGACGTTAATTAGTTGTTGAAGCTGACATCATCTTCGGGCGGGGTGACATGGACGG